TTGACCAAATATAGACTGTTAAATTTTATTGAGCTGGCTAGGACCTCACTTTAGTATGATTTTTAGTCTTTGCTGCTATTAACTTGGTCAAAAGAGATATTAAGTGACTTTAGCTAGTGTAAGTGCTAGTAATAAGTCTTTCATTATCTGAGCACTTTTTTCATAAAGTTGTCATCATTATTGGATCACCAAATGTCTCAATAATTCTATTTCTTTTTTCCTTTAAAGTTGTGTATTGATTCGGGGGTAACAAAAGTTTTGGTAGAGGCTATTTCTGTACTTGGAAAGGTATTTAGAGTAAGTCTATTTCCTTATATTTGTTGAAAGAGCGCTGTAGAATGAAATCACACTTCATTTGGTACCATACATGTTATAGCTTCTGAGTATTTAATGGTTCATATTGGAGAAAATGAAATGAAGACATTCTAGTTGCACACTACTGTAGGATGGAAAAGCTGCACTTTTGAGGCTGCTGTTAGAAACTTGCTGAAAAGTGGATTGATACAATTTTGCTGACATCAGTTTCCACAAACATCAAGCTTTTCCTCCCCCAAGATGTGTAGAGGCAGTCAGAAGAAAGGTAAAAATGCTGATGCTTTTGTTGCTTCTCTGTGCGAGGGAGGCTGAAATTGCAGGAATTATTTCATCCTGGGATGAAAGATGTGTTTCAGAAAACTTAAAATATACTCTTAATAGAATAAAATGGAATCTTAGAGAAGAAAAGCTTCATTTCAGCACATGGTAGCAGGCTGCATCAGGCTTAATTCAGTATGTTTTGAAATAAATATTTACATTGTCTTCCAAGAGCATTAATTTTGTTCCATAATTTTGTCTTAGGTGGAAAAATGGTTTTTCGCCCTGTTGTTTAGGTGGGGGTTTTATTACTAATAGGAAAGAGTACTGCCTTTATTGTACCTCTGAGCTTCAAAAACACAACCATATAAGGCTTCGAGGAGATTTGTACCCTTTTTCCTGCAGCTTAACTTGTCCTTATTGTGCCAGACTGAGTTAACAAGATTGCAGACCATCCGTTTATATTTTGGTGGCTTATCTTTCAAAAGAAAAGTAAGTTAATGTTCGTAGGCTTTGCAATCACAGACTTCCGTTCTCACATTCTCTCTCTTTCTCCTGCTCTGCCTACCCCACTCTCTTCAGTGAGGTTGTGCCAGGTATATTTTCAATGCTGTAACTTCATATATTCTTACACAAATGGTTACAGCAGTGACTGTATCCCTGGAGGAATGCGTGCCTCTTCCACTGCCCGATATAATGGAAGGAAACAGCAGGCCTTGCTTAAAAAAGATGTAATCCTGGATTGTGTAGAGAGCATGCTCAGTGTACAGATTTGCATTAGTTGACTTTTTCCCCAGCAAAGGTTTTCGATTTACAGAACTTTTTTCTTAAAAAAAAAAAAAATCTAGAATTTTCTGAAATTAAAAACTATAATGGGAGTCATTAAACTCCTGACTTCAAAAGGAATTAAGTTGGGTCAAGGTGATTGAGGGATGAGCATTCTGGATGCAGTAGGACAGAAACTAGGGTTTTCAGATCTTTGTGAAACTATTGCATTCTGATGTGTAAATTCATAGTGGGGTTTATAGGTTAGTTTACAGGCTTGTTTTACTGTGTTTCAAGAGTCAGACCCAAACTGGCTTCTGAGATACAGGCAGCAAGCTAAAAGTGGGACAGTATTGCAGGGAGTTTTGGGGGTTTAGTGTTACACATTTACCCCATCACCACCATCTGACTGTAACCTGCACAAGACAGAAGATGAAGAGCTATTAGACACTTTATCTGCATGAGAGGATAATCTGTTCTTAAAAAAAGAATTTTACTTTTAACTGGGGTACTTATTTTCCTCATACAGTTATGCCAACACTTAAAACCTCAGTAAAGTATTCTGGTATTCTCTTACCTTGCTCTTTCTCACACCTAGTTTTGGAGTTGAGTTTAGACAGGTCCTAAGTCAGGGCTGTATGATGGCGTGGGGTGCTGGAACAAAATGTTCTCTCAGGGTGTCACCATAGAAACATTTGTAGTGTTGAGCTGCTTCATCCAAACGAGCACATACTGCAGTTCGTAGAAATTGTCAAGACAGTGTAGATTGGCCTGCCTATTCTGAGTAACCATTTGCAGGTGAATGCTTGCTTACAGACAGAAAAAGCTGTGCTAATAATGAGAAGCTGGTTAAATAAGCACCTGGTATGATTTAAAATTTTCAAAGTAATTTTGAAGATGGGTTGAATTATTAGAAGCCGAATCCAGCCCTTCTTCAAATAAACACAGCTGAACTGTAGTGATGTGAAGAGGTTTGGTTGCTAGAAAACTGAAAAGAAACTTCCAAAACTTTTTTTTTTTCCCCAGAAATGGCAACATAGAGGTACATATAAATATCTAATCTCAGTCTCCCAAATCTACAGTTTGTCCTGAATCTGAACTGACCCAAAGAAACTGGAGGCTGGAATGATTGGCACTTTCTGTGATTGTTATGATGGCACCTTTTGGCTCCCCCATCAGCCATTAGTTCCACAGCTTGAGAAGTCTGAAGTGCCACGCCAGCTCCAGAGCTCTGCCCTGTTTACAGTGCTTGTTTTTTCTTAACATATTTCATTAATGCAGGCTTAAAAAAAGAAGGGATTACAGGCTGGTGTGTGTTTATTTCAAGAGGATAAGCTTTAGTGCATTGCACAACTGTGTATATCTTGTGAATTGCGAATGGATTAGGAGTAGAAGTATATGCTGCCTTTACTTTTATTAGGGAAATGTACCAGGTATACATCTTCTTGCATGTCTTAACCATCTTTTAAATTGAAGGGGTTTGATACTTGAGGCAGGTAGGGGTGGAGTAGAAATCGTGAATGAACTGTAGGCACCAAAGGCCAGAGGAAAGGATGTGTTGTAGACCTGCAGGTGATTTGAATGACAACAGTTAAAGAAGAAAATGGTTTGTTGTTCTTCCCGGAGCCTTAAGTGTGGTAGTAAGGGTTAACTTGGTTTAAGCCTCATTGCTGGCTGGCTCCAGAGACATCTGGTGTGAGCCAGCTCTCTTCTTTACCACTGTCTTTGTGGTGTTGTATAATGGTAGGCCTTGTCCTGAATCAGAACTGTGTTGTAATTGATTTTGTTGAATAACATGGCTTGACTTGGCTAAATATGGAAAAAATCATGTTGAGAAGTAAGTCTGTGGTATAATACATGTGCTCTTTGTATATTGTATGCTTGGATGTCCACATATTTTATTGTGAAAATGTCTAAACATGACAGTTTCACAGTAGTATTTACTGTAGGCAAACTCTCGTGAGAGACAGACCCATACTGTCTGCATTGGAGATAAATCGTACAGACCATTTGATGACTTGTATAAACGCTGTAGCAAATGAAAACCTGCGTAACTTTGGACATCTATGTGTTAGACTTTTATTCAGGCAGAACAAAATGTGTTAATAAGCTGGAAGTGCATTTTTCTTTACTGCTTTTTGCAAGATGTTAGTTCAAGATAAAATTCTGAAATTATGTTTCTTCTTTGCTGCTACAGAGTGGTACAACAAGAAGCTCAGAGATCACAACAAGTTTCCCAGGACAGAAAAAGTCCTACCAGAACCAATGGCTGCAATGAAAACAAGCCCATTGACATCCTGGAAATGCTTAGTAAAGCCAAGGATGAATATGAACGAGTAAGGAAATGTCTTATTCCCCCGCTTTTCTTTCTTTTCCCCTAACCTTACAAACAACTAAAACCACTACTTCTGCTTCTGAATAAGAGGTTTAGGACATCATATGCAGTGCACTGTAGTAGTGTTCCCTGTGATTTCGTGAGAGCGAAATGATAGAGAATAAATCTCTCTTGTCCTATGAAACACACTCTTATGCAAGATTGCAAAGTAATGCACCTTATCTCTAATTTAATGACCCCTGAATTGCCCCCTTTTTTGGGGGTGGAGGAGAAATACAGTTTTAAAAATGGATACCTGGAGATGCAGACAGAACAAAATGCTTCTTGAAAACAGCTGTGTGGACTGCTTCATGTCAGTACTCATCTACTGTCTTGTTTTGTGAGTTTGTTGTCAAAGAAAACGAAAGATTAGGTATCTGTGACACTGCAGATGTTCAGTACCACTGACCGCCTCTGCTTTTGTCAGCCACTATAAGAAACATTTAAAATAAGGAATTTCAAGATGACAACATGGGTTTTCATTTTTTCCTGCATACTGAATGTCACTGGAGGAGATCCGCTGTGATTCATGCCATAATGGAGAGTATTCGTTGAGCTGCACCCTAAAATGTTTTGGCAAGTTGAATAATATAACAGAAGCCCAGAAACTTTGTGAACTGTCCCCTGCCTGTGACACAAGCACTGATGTAGAATGACTTAGAGAGAAGGGATGGTATGGGGAAAAATTCATGTTTTAAAACAGCGTGGGACTTGTATGAATTATTAAGCCTATCTGGAAACTAGTTTTTAACATTATCAGCTGTGTTTTGTTTAGGGAGCAGGTATTCTCTGCTCTTGTTTCAGTAGCCTTCTTTTAAGATGGATGTCTTGTTCCCTCCTTCAAGTACACTATCCTAGGAAAGAGTCTCTGATTTCAGGCAAGATAGGTTGAATGTCCATCATGTGATCCAAATTTTTTTTCTGGGAATAGAAAAAACAATTGTAGCCAACAGTGTGTCTCTCTTTTTAGTCTCAAAAGACATCTTCTAGTATTGGAAATCAGAGATTCATTCATTCAGTGTATTTGTAGACTCTGGTAAGCATATTTTTAATAGCTGTACATGAGGTATAATAGTACTGTTCTGCTGTCCTTCTGTTCCCCAGTTGACTGCTTCTCTCCTCTGTGTCTGCTATTTTAATGAATTAATTGACTTCAGAAGGATGAGTCTGGTATCTTTAGCTAGTGCTAAACTCACAGATTTACGTAATGGAGAGTATTAGTTCTCTTAAGAAAGAGCTACTGTGCGTAGTCTTGAGGACCAAATTCATACATCCAGGCAATATGAGGGAGGAAAAAAGGAAACAAGGATTCTGAACATGCCTTTCCCTGAGTATAATAATACAAGAATGTGCAATAGCAAAATAATGTATGAGTATGACGTTGCAGAACTGTGGTGTGGGGTTTGGTGTCTGTTCTGGTGGGCAAGAGTTGGCACATGAGTGTAGTGCTTGATTCCTTACAGAAGTCTCTTGTGCAGCAGAGTTCCTTTGAGTACTTGAGGTTTGAGTCTTTGTAGGATTCTAGATTGTCAAAGGAGAAAAGAAGAAATGTGTGGATTAAGCTTTGCATGAACCAATTTTAATTTGTCACTTTCTGATGTAGGTTGAGGGCAGGTAAATGTGACAAACCATACAATGTGTGTGACCTGAGCTAGATAGTAGCTTCTGAAAATCGATGTGTGTTTTAAATGCTTTAAATACAAAATAAAAAACAAACAAAAAACAAAACCAAATGGTTTTGATTCTCTGAGCGTCAGTGCTGTTCAGGGAGATATTGTCTTTGTACAAAGGCCAGCATTGTGGAAGGAGCAGCTTTTGTAAGGGCACGAGGAAACATCAAAACCTGAATGACTCATCTTTGTGTTGTATCAACTGTGATAGGTTTGAAATAGTTGGAGGCTTTTCCACACCACAGGAACTCCTTGTTTTGGTAGTGCCCTCTTAGGCTGTGGTGAAGCCTTCCTCCCTCTTTGTCCTTGTAGTATTGGATAACACGTTTCCAACAGATGGCTCTTAAAAAGGACTTGAGCTATTCCTGCTTCTCCTCTCCCAGATCTGAGGTCTTTTCCATGTGAGAGCACTGAAAAGCTTTTGCTAGAAATATAGCATGTCTGAATCTCACTACACAAATACAGATAAACAGGCAATGGTATACAGATTTTGTGGTGTAATACAGTAGGGAAATCTGCAGGGCATGGACTACAGCAGAGCTGCTGTATAACTGGGGGGTTTGTGTCTTGGTCTTCATTTGTTGGTGGGTGTGTTTGTTTCTTGATGCTTTAGAACATTAGTGAAACTAGAATAATTACTTAATTTTCTTTTTGTGTAAACTGAATCTGTTCCAACGTAATCCCATGGCCTATGACTGTAGTTATGTAGAAGTTGCCAGATAAACAGAATTGCATGATGTTGGTCATATTTCAAATAAACTTCTTTGGAGGAATGTTCTGTTGATCACCTCAACTTTAGCAACAAACTTCTGGCACGGTAATTTTGGAATTCCTTGTAGCCAGAGTATGTCAGTGTTAACTTAAGTAACCAACTTGCTTTGAAGATGGCTTTGAGAGACCTTTCCTGTCTTGATTTTTTTATTACTATTTTACAGCAGTCAGTAATTATGCATGAATTTGTATTTAGGAGTAGAAAGTATTTATCTGCCTGGTACATTCCAGATGGATCATACAGTAATCCTTGTGTGCAGCCCACATGTGATTGGCAGACTGTCGGCATGAGAAAGGGGCACAGAGAGTGAAAGAGATTTATGAAGGTCTGAGTGATTTAATCTAGGGTTCCAAAACAGCTTAATCCTTCAAGTACTCACTACATCAAGTCCATATGTGAAAATGAATGAATTCTGAGATTTACTTTTTTTTTTTTTTTTTAAAGAGGTGAATGGATGCTTTTTATAGTGCAGTGTTTTGTGAATGTGTTTCAGAATGAGCACAGAAACATACTGCAGCGCCTCCTCTAGTGAAAAGAAAACTATGCTTGTTTCTTGGGAGGTTTTTTGTTTTTGTGTGTGTGTGACCACAAGCCATCTGGCAGTTCAGGCACAAAAGGCTTTGACCTTCAGGTCAGTGACTAAAAGCCAGAAAGATGAAGTTGCTTCTCATCCCTGTCCCTGAATCACAGCACATAGTCTTGAATTTTGTATTTATTGTTTTCAATTAGAAACTGAAAACAAAAGAGTAATAAAGTCCAGTTTGGTTTTTAACTTGTTGGTAAAAGTTTAGTTCATATTTTGTTGCTGTAAGCAACCAGAGCAATCATGGTGTCTTATGCTAATGTTCAGCTGTATCAGGTGCGTAAGCTGTAATTTACCTATTGAAAGCTTGACAGTTCTACAGTTTGGGTGTTTTCACTGGTGACTGAAACTGTAGTACAATTTTTGTGCTTGTTTATGTGTATATTTATTAAAGATTAAAGTCAACTTGATCTGTAAACATAGTTTGTTACAATGTAGCTCCTGTCTGGCTTCACCTTGTTCACAGAAAACCAAATTAGCACTTTCTGAAAATGCATGTGCATGGTTAATTACAGCCTGTGGAATTAAGTTGGTGACAGGCTCTTTTCCCAACCACTCAGGATGATTTCTGAAAGGATTTTTTTTGTTAAGCTGTTTCTAGTTGGGGTTCTCGAATTAACGAAGTGTAGCAAACTTCCTCATTAGCAGCTACTGCAGATACAGGATGTAGAAAAGCCTGCCTTTTGTATATCATTTTCCTTCTTGGCCAAGGAAGTATGACACCAGTTGTCATTTTTTTTCATTTATAATATAAAGTAAAAGCTTTATGACAACATACTAAATGGTGGATGGCTTTCTATAATCTTTGTTTCCTAAAATTCATGAATTCTGCAGTGTCTTACAGACTATGTACAGAGTACTGATTTCTGTATTTCAAAGTGTCATGTGAACAGGATTGCAGTAGTGGGTAAATGTGGACTTAAAGTCATGAAGATAGGCTGAGAAAGTTGGGGCTGTTCAGCCTGGAGAAGAGAAGGCTGCGTGGAAACCTCATAGCAGCCTTCCAGTATCTGAAGGGGGCCTATAAGGATGTTGGGGAGGGACTCTTCATTAGGGACTGTAGTGACAGGACAAGGGGTAACGGGTTAAAACTTTAACAGGGAAAGTTCAGGTTGGATATAAGGAGGAAGTTTTTTACTGTGAGGGTGGTGAGGCACTGGAATGGGTTGCCCAAGGAAGTTGTGAATGCTCCGTCCCTGGTGGTGTTCAAGGCCAGGTTCGACAGAACCTTGGGTAACATGGTTTAGTGTGAGGTGTCCCTGCCCATGGCAGAGGGGGGTTGGAACTTAATGATTTTAAGGTCCTTTCAAACCCTAACTATTCTGTGATTCTATGTATTTGTGTTAATTCCCCCCCCCCTTTTTTTTTTAACCCACAGAATCAGAATAATGATTTAAGTATTGTATCAAGTTCTGGAATGCAACAAAATGCAAATCCTCCAAAGCCAGAAAGCACAGAGCCTTCAGAACAGAAAACATCAAAACAAGTGCAAGAGCAGGTAAGTGCCATCCAGCCATAAAAAAGGTGCTTTTTTAATATATATATATATTTTTTTTTAATTTATAAAAAATAAACTAATGTGTTTGGAGGCTGTTAGTATCCTGAATTCTGTCTTTTTGAGTTAGCATTTAAAAATATAAGGTTCTGTCCACATTACTGTGAATATCTGAGTTTATATGGGCTAACTTGGATGCTGGAAGACGTCAGTCCATGGTAATGTGCAGGATCACTTGCAGAGCCAGGAGACAAGAAAAAATTCTCTGCCACGTTATTGAACTGAACGTGGCATCAATTGCAATCTTTTACATGTGAACTTAAGCCCTGTTTTCTCACATCTGAGACATAAGATTTGTCTCTGTTGCCTTCAGAGCTGCTTTCAAAGCTGCAGTCCTGTTAACTTGAATCAACAGCGAATTGTTAACCAAGAAATAGCTTCAGTCATGGCAGCACCAAATTCTCATTGGTGTAACTGAAAGTGTGTTTATCTGTCTTCTCCCAGACTTCTGTAGCTTGCATTGAACCTTTGCTTGTATGAGTTTGGTAGTGGGATCAGTTGGCTTGGCTGATTCCTTCGCGCTTAGATTGTGGAAAAAGTGTGTGTTGTTTTGCTTTGGAGTTTGTTGTTTTGTTAGTGGCAGGGAAATAATGTTGTTTTTTTCCAATATTAAGAACTTTCTGACAGTATATTCCTTCCTCTGCAGGAAGGGAAATACTGTTTAAAAAAAAGAAATAAAAAAACTGAGTGTTGTTGGGGAGATATGTTGCTCAAATTGTAGTAATACGGTGTTGAGATTTGTTTCAGATAAGTGTTAGAGAAAACATGTTGAATTAGCATGTATCCAGATATCTACAAATTCTAAAGCTTGGTGTTACTACTGTAATTAAAGTTTAAACCACAGTAAAAATGCTAGTGAAAAAAAACTCTGCTTCAGGTAAATGTTGTTTATCAACCTTGGGAAACTTGCTGGAGTGTCAGTGATGACACTCAAGTTCAGTATCTGGCTCCATTTTCTAGGAAGCATTTCTGACCAAGGAAGCTGTAGCTTCATACACGACTTCTTAGAGATAAATGTAGGAAAAAAAACCTTATGCAATAACCAAATTTTCTGTAACATGCAAGTATCCTGGCCCTGCCTACAGTGACACCCAGTGGGCACAGGTAGGTCAGTAGTGGTTCTCAGGAAATACTCCTCTTCAGTAAGCTGCAAGGCCTGCCATAGTTTACTGTTGTTTCTGATGTAATAAACCACTGTGTCTGAAAAATGCCCTATGAAAATATGTGCAACCTCACATTTAGTATTGTAAACGAAATACTTACTTTGTGGTAGTAATAATTTCTAGCACAGTTTACGGTGAGGGTGTGGGCAGCAGGAATCTGTTTTAGGGAATGATGTGGTAACAGTTAACAGATGAAACTAAGGGGTGGGGAGTTTGCTGGGGGTTATTTGCTGTCACAGTCCCCTCTACCCCCACAGCAGCACCTCTGCTCTTGGATCAGTGTAAGTGAGAGACTGAGCCCCTGGCAGCCAGCTCAGCTTACTGCATGCCTGCTCTGGAGACCTGCAGCAGGGTCACCTGAGTCTTTGATTTAGAAGATGCTTTCTTTTGGGTCACTCCATGTAGACAGAAAGCAATCAGCTGAAGTGCCCCACCTGACAGCACATGAAGTTGCAGAACAGAAATCAAACAACTAGTAAAGGAAAAACTGGAAAGAGAAATTGCTCTCAAGTAGTTAAAAGGGAAATAGTAAATTTATAGAACAGGTAAAATGGAATATTTTTAGTTCTGTTGACCTAATTAAAATAATAGCTGCAGAGATATTGGTAAAATTTAATTGGTAACATAACTGATAAATTCTTTAAGCTAGTTAGCTGGGTTCAAATATATCGCAAATGTGTTTGATCTTAATCACATATTTAATAACATGAACAACTGGAGGACTACTGGAAAAACAGTAACAACTGTTACAGGACTACTGTAAACATACAGTTTTTCATCTAATTGAAACAAGTGACCAGTGAAATTAAATAATAGTATTTGTAGATAAGTACTGCGAGATTCTCAAACTCCTGCACTCAAAATGTCCCACTTGGCATGTTGAATGACTAACTTAATCTCATGCTAAAGATATCACAGATCTGGAAATAAAAAATTAGTGTCTCTTCTGTGATAATCTCAAGTTTGAACTTGGCAGTTCAAAATGAAAACTGGTTGTATCATGAGACATTTTTGTGCCAGCAATCAGCAAAACTGAAACAGAACATCATGAAGTGCCAGCTCTGACTGTTAATTTGTGTTTCAATGTATCTGAAATGATTTCTGGAGAAGCCCTCTGACTAGCACTCTGCTCCTATCAAATAAACTGATTGTGTTGCCTTTTTGCAGCCCTAGCTGAAAGGGTCTTCATAACACACTGAGCTGATAATACACTCAAAGTACACCTCAGCTAAAGATGGGGCAGGCAAAAGAAGTATTTTATACTTCAGGCTGGAAATTAACTTCATGTTTGAGACTGTATCCACATGAGGGGCTGGTCTGACTTGGATCAGAGCATGGTAGACATTTCTGTTTATTACTTGATTCCTGTAATTACTGGTAATAAAGGAAAGGTAGTTTTAGATTTTAGATTTTTAGAAAGATAGATTTATCATACTGAAGTGAAAAGCTGAGTATGAAATGAGATGGAATAGTGATTTTTCTCTTAATGGAATCTTTACAGTTGAAGGAGAGGTCTCCAGAACAGTAAGATCAGTGGAAAAAAGAGCAACATTCTAGGAAGAATCCTAACATCATTATCAAGGATTATAAACTACAGAATGTCTCAGCTGCAAAATGAAGTTGCCCTGACTTTAGGCTAGGTAAAAATGAGTAACAGCAATGACAGTATAGATTATTAACCTGGGCAGAAGTCAATGTGATTTCAAGCTCAAGGGTTTTTTTGTTAAGCTACTTGCATGCAACCTGTACTGCCATACCTTCACTGCTCTTATCTAGTAAAATTAGAGCTAGCATAGCAATGTCATGGTGCAGTAGTTGTCATTGTAAAACAGCATCTTTATTTAGACATACCATCAGAATGCCCTGGAATTGTGCTGCAGGCCATTCAGTCTACTGAACAGAATGTTGTATTTTAGTCCAGCTGTTTTATATAACTTCTGGTCCTGTGCAACCTTTTAAAAGAAGAAAAGGGAAAAATAAAGGGAAATTTTGAGATGAAGGGTGTTAATAGATGTTCTTTTTCTCTTTAGTGAAACACATTTTAAAATATTCTCAGCAAAATATTAAGAAGATAATATCCTTAAAATTAGATATTTTTTTTTAACTATGTCGGTGTAGGCTAGATGTATATTTTTGGGAGATACTGAAGGACTGTTAGATGTAACAATATGTATATATACACACTTTTCAAGGAGATACATATGCATGTGTTCAGGTTAATACACATTCTTTTACCTAGTGCCACATCTGTTGCCATGTTAATGAAAATGGTGAGAACTGTCTAGGCATGTATTGCTAGATGAGCTGTGTGCTTTCAGGTTTCTCTGTTCCTTTGCCATCTTTTAGGCCATTTAGTTATTTCCAGCTCTATAAATTTCATGTGGATTTTGTTCAACACTTATGTTCTTCACCCCAACTGCCCCCAAGGGCCTGTGTAGTTAGGGCTGATAGATGATGGTGGGTGCCATCTTAATGACAGAATCTATGGCCTTTCCCCTTCTTTATACTTCTAGTGCACAGTGCATCCATGGAGGGCTGTAAGAGAAAAACCTTACATAGGCAGGATGTTCCTTGTAAATGAAATGGATTTCAAAATCCATGTAAATAGAGCACACTTGATATCCAAACTGTATTTTAAATGCATTTGACCTAGTTGTCTTTCATAGTTTTATTGAAATTGTAACAGTGTGAGATGCACAGTGTTATGTATGTTCCTAAACTGAAAACTTCTTTTTTCTCTTTCTAGCCAAGGCAAAAGCATCTGACTTTGGAGGAACTGTTTGGAACCTCTGTATCAAAGGAACAGCCTGTAGCTCTGTATCCCAATCCAGAGAGAATCGAGAAGTTGCAGACTGATGCCTCTGCCAGAGAGCAGCACAGTTTGTTCTTGCCTTTTTCTTTTGACCAGTCGACAGCAATACAGCAATCATTAGGGAAATCTGAAAGTCCAAGCGTTAAAACCAGTGCCAATCCTTTGAATCAGCAAGAATGTTTAACACCTATGCTAATACCTCCAGCTTCAGTTTCCCAGCCTGATATAAAAAATGTTTCAAGCTATTCAGTTCGTTTAAGCCCTATTCTTAATTCAGCCTCAACAGTGGAAGCTGCCTCTGCTCAGATGCTTCCTGGCCTCAAACAAAACAACAATATAATGCAAGTTATGCAGCAAGCTGCCAAGCAGATCTCTCCACTAGTGACTCAGCTGCCATCTGAAGTGAACCATGTTCCACAAAACCTAATGGCTGGCCAAAGTCAGCTTACAGCACCCTTGACGTCAGCAAATACAGGAACTGCCTCAAATACATCCCATACAAGTGTTGATCTTCTCCAGAAACTCAGGTTGACACCACAGCATGACCAAATGCAGCAGCAGTCTCTCGCTAAGACTTCCTTAACACCAAACATCTCTGCCTCAGTTAGCCAGCTTGCAACACCAGAAAGCTTCAAAGAATCTCACAGTAAGCCATCAACCTTGAACAGCAAGATAACCTCTCCCCTTCAGGTATTCTGTGGGCTTTTGTATCCATAAAGCTTTAGACTGTTCTTAGGCTATGTGTTGGTTTTTTTTTCCCCTGGAAAATGTGCTGTTATATATTAACCTTTTAAAAATAATTAAGGACTTCCATTGTGGGATATTGATTGAATTGCTAACTTGGAAATCCAGTTCCATTAGTTTTTAGATCATAAGCATCTGCTATCAATGACAGACCTGCCTATAGAGAAGGAGGCTTTTCAAGCTGGTGCTGTTAGGGGATGAATAAGCCCTAAAGAATTCATCTGTACTTGTGCCAGAAAAATACTGTTAAGAACTGATAATCAGAGAAGGGACAGAAAGTTACAGACTGATAAATGTTAGGAGAGTTGATGCTGTGGATGTCTGCCCCTGTACCTTTTTTGAAGGTACAAATGAACAATTTCCTGTTTCTGGTTATTTTGCTTTGGGTGTTCAGTACTCCTCCAATTTTTACCCCCTTCTGCTGGGATACTTGTGGCCTGTTTTGAAATACTGTTGGTTATTTAGTAAAATAGGTCATAAACTGATTTGTCTTAATTGATAACCCTGGTTTACTTTATACTAATATCACTTACAAAGGACCTCTTAAACTTTATTTCTTGGAGGAGAATCTATTGTCTTTGCCTTAATATCAGCCAAAGCAGTAAACTTGCTTTGAGAGACCAAGTGAAAACTTCACTGCTAGTTTGTAAGGTTAATGCCTGTGGCTTTGTTTTATAAATTACTTCCTATTAGTTAGCGTTGCTGTGCTGTATGATTGGCTACCTCAGTAGTAAGGACAATTTTTTTTTCCCAAAGGAAGTAACTTTCTATAATGCTTTGTTGCATTATTGTTTTATTTTATAGATGTTCATAGAGTCTAAGCCAGTGTTTGATCATGTCTTCTTGCATCTTGGGTACAGTGATAATGCAAGAATAAAATACATCAAACAAAACTACTTACAGCTATATTGGCATGAATTTCCTTGGGTTTATCATTATCCAGTTTTGCTTTGGTTTTAACAACATCTTTGGTAGCCATGTCTGGGTCAGCTGCTGGTATTAATATGGTGATGACTTCCTCATAACAGAAAGCCAATTAAAAGCTCAGTTCTTCAGCCTGTAACTTGTCCTAAGTGTTATTATAGAATACCCTGTATTTAAAATGATTTTCTGCCCTCAGAAAAGGGGGAGTTATCACTGTCCTAATGTATAAGAAATGTGTGTGTTTATTGTGCTTTCTAATTACCTTATTTCTAATCTACCGCTGTTCCTGACATTTTTCAAGATGGCTGTTACTGGTAGGTGCCAGGATTATTTTACTAGAGATCACCTTTTTGAGATAGCTGAACTGATTGATTTTGTGGAGGGAATACAAATTGCAGAAGTACAAACTGAGCAGCTGTCTTGATCTAGTATTGAAGAACTGTATGTTCTGAGCAGTATTTTTCTTTAGTGTAGTACTAAACCTTGGTACAGATTTAGTGGAAGGTTGTAACATCTTTGAGCAATTGGAAGAACTGGCTGCTTTTATCCATAACTGCCCTTGACTGTGATTTATTCAACATCTGCTGGAAAGCCTTGAAATGAGTGCTTCGTATGCTAACCCTTGTTTTCTTCCACCGTGTCCACTGTGTGCACATATTTTCATTAGACAAAATTCACCATAGTCCAAATATCCTCTCAAACTAGCAAGACTCTTATTAATCTTTAACTCTTAAGAACCCAGCCAGACAGCTTGTTCACTCACTCCCCCCCTTCTTTCCTTCCCCCTATTCCTGGAGGGACGGAGAGGAGAACAGAAAAGAATGCAACTCCCACGGGTTGACATAAGAACAGTTTAGTAACTAAGGTATAACACAAATCACTGCTGCTACCACCAGTGATAATAATGATAAAGGAAATAACAAGGGAAGACAATACAACACCTCAGCACCAGCCGACCAATAACTTGCCCCCCCCCAGCCCAACTGAGCATCGACCGATACCTCCTCCAACCCCACCGTCCCAGCCCTTACGGGTAACTCTCCAGTTACCTCCTAGGCATGACGTGCTGTGGTATGGAATACCTCTTTGGTCAGTTTGGGTCAGGTGCCCTGTCTTTGTTTCCTCTCGGCTTCTCCCCATCCCTGGCAGAGCATGAGGCTCACAAAGTCCTTAGCCAAACCAAAATGTCTGTGTTATCAGCTCTGTTCCCAGGCCGAAAGTCAAAACACAGCACTGCACCAGCTACCAAGAAGGAAAAAAATGACTCCTACTGCTGAACCCAGCACAGACTTTAAGAAATTGATCTTGTGCTTGCTGACACTTCAAGAAGCTAACTTTATTTTTGTCATTAAGGCCTATCAATTCCCTGAGTGTTTTTCATTGTAGTTCAAGTAAGCTAAGAACTCTCTGTTGCAAAGGGGTTTTTCCAGTTCTGTGTTGCCAAGAGGTATTCCATATGGCTATAACAAGTCCTTTGAAGAATGCCATAGAAATTAAAAGTATCTGATCTACATGACTTTTATTGTATTTTCTGATACTCTAATATTTGAATCTGACTAACGAAATACCTGAATGCTGTTTGCAAAGCTATGAATACTTTTAGCAAAAATCTAGCAGAAAGCAGAATCTGAATTTTTGTAGTGGGATTAAACTCATAGAAAAAATATACTGAACTTAACCTTCCTGGCAATTTACCAAACTGGTTACAGGGTACTCAACTCTTCACTTTTTTTAGGACCTGTTTTGTTCCTAGTTTCAGTGTCTTAATGCTTCGATTATTTTTTTTAACTGTAGTGGTGTTTCTTCAGAAGCATTTTGTTACGGCTTTACAGGTTTGCCGTAATACTGAAAGTATAAAATATACATTCAAATATTTTCACTTTTTTCCAACTTTTCATTAATTATATCAGTTCTACAAAATGGAACAGATTACATCTACTGTCTGAAATATGCATTTTTATGCTTTCATAAAAGTAGAGAACCACCCCTGGAAATTGAGCTGTGGATGTTAACCTGTTGATTATGCTTTCTTTTCATTTTAGCCTGTACAACAAAGCAAAGAATCAGAAATATTTCCACAGCCGAAGACTTTGTCTAAAGCAAGTCAAGTAAGTGAATAAATACTTCTGCTAATTGTTTGTTGGTTTTCTTAAATTAAAAAAAAAGGGGGGGGGAGGTGTGAAACTGTGGTAAGCAGTTGGTATCTTAAGTAGTCATTAGCCTCTGATCATTTTTGAAGTGCTGTTATGAAGCATCAAGCTGCCTTCCTGAAGCAGGTGGGAGTTTCTGTAGCCTTCTGTGAACGAGTACACTTTTTATTGTACGAAAGCTTCTTATTGTTGGTGCTAACGTAGAAATTACAATACATTTTTGATCTGAGTCTTGCATTGAGTTTGCAAGGCTCAGGTAAGGTTAGCTTGCTCAGTCTGAACTGGTTTTATTATCTTATAAGCAAGCAGTACTAATTCAATA